TTATACGCGCATCTGGCAAAGTGGGAGGGGCCTGCGCTTGTCACATGACGTAAAGAAGAGTTGTCCCGTCTTGTCTTACTGAGTCTTGGGTGTTAGCTTCTTGGGTGGCCAAGATAGTGAGGCCGTCTTGGTGAGAGCGCAAGGGCTTGTACATTGCACAATAATAATATCATTAAGATTGACAGCTTTGACACGGAATATAAACTTCTTCGGTGCACAGGCTGACATCTTTGCCAGCCTCGACAATTTAGCCTATGTCTAGACCAGTGGTTTTCAAACTTTTTTTTCGCCCACCGCCCCCTTTTTCACCCTGCCGAGTCCCAGCGCCCCCTACTCTGACCCAAGCATCAATCTGACATAGCGACAAGCATAATGTTAACAATAACAAATATAGAGAGAGCTCAAACAGCAAGGTAAAAAACAACGAGCCTAAATTCTAATGATTTGGTTCTGAATAGAAACTTTAGTTAGGTTACAAATCACCATCTTTTTTTTAATAGAATCATAAATTTAAATTATGCGTGTACGAGAGGTAATAAAATAAATGTTTTCTTCAATATTATTCAAGGGCATTGAGAACAGGGTGCTATCATTTTATGCATATTATTATTTTTAGTCGTCGTTATTAAACGACCTGTGTCATTAACATCAATAAAAAGTAGTATTAAATTACACATATTATCACATATACATATATATACATATACAAAAGAAAAACACTCCAAAAAAAAAAACCCAAGTGATCATTGTTTTGAAAACAGATAGACAATATCTTTATGAGACGTTTTCTCCGATCAACTAGATTAGTTGCAATAAAGTGGCCTGTGATTTGTATATCAAATATCTCTTTTGCCTTTATGGCGAGTTGTAAAGTGAATCTGATATTATTTAAAATTTTTATTGTTACTTAAAAGTTGTTTTAGATCACAAATGTATTTACACCGAATTTGAATATTTTAACTTTTTAGCATTTTAAAGTAAATTAGTTACCAGCCGTGAAGTGAACTTTCGCAGAGGCGAACAACTTGTGTTTCGCGCGCTCATATGACCTTAGCAGTTGCGGGCGCCGTAAAACCTTATACTACTACTACTACATATATATCTCTTTTGCAGAACATAGAAATATATCAAGCTGTTCAAATGTGAGAAACTACAAGAATAAAAAATATGTATGGATCTTAGTCTATAATCATCATCATCATATCAGCAACGTCAGCACTTTCATCAGCAGTGGCAGCACATGCACATAACTAACTCTGTTAAACAAGTGAGAAAAAAAAAAAGAAAAAAAATACACATTGAGGTATCAAGTAAGGGTAAACTACAGGGTAAGAATGTACGAATAAGTCATTTGACACAGCTCTAATTGGGAGAAAGGACCTGGTGAGACGGAACCAACTTATCAAAATCAGGTTTCAGATAGATCAGTAGCAGACGCAAATCGCCACTCTCTGTGATCCTTAGTTTATTCTTCTGCTTCGTCAGCAACTTTGTCAAGGCAATGAATCCTTTTTCTACTAGTCAGGAGGTGGGAAAAGCGATGAACATCAACTTGATCCTTACCCACAGGGAGGGATATTTAATTTATCTTCTGCAACATTTTTCAACCAGGATAACTGGTACGACTTCGTGAACAACTGTTTGATTTCAAAGTCACTTTTCATTGTCAGAATCTCTTCTTCAATTGCTACTGGCAGGTTACCATCTGTTTCAGTGTTGAATGTGTCCAGTACCCAATCTGTAATTTCCAGTTGAAAAATACCAGTAAACCTTGTCTTCATATCAGCATGCACATCTTTGAAGTGGTTGGTATATATTTCTAGTTCCTCGTCAGAAACCCACCCTTCTTTCAGTGTCTCCGCCAAGCTAGGAAACAGCAAACTCTCTTCTGCCAATGTTTCGGCGGAACATTTCCAATTTCAACACGAATGACGAAAGCATGGATTTTGCCTTGATCAGGTTGGTGCCATCCCCCTGGAGTTGCAAGTTGACCTGGTTGAACTTTATGAAAAGATCTGCTCGTAATCTTGTTCGTGTGCTCTTTCAATTAACTAAAGATATCATTGTCTATTTCTTGAAAAAAACAAACCCACACACACACAGAGTCAAACAGGCAGAAAAATCGTGTTAAACAGTTTCCTTTTGAGAGCCACCGCAGTGTGCAAAAGTAAGCATTGTAAGTCATC